GATTTGCATACTCCATATATGGATTTTTTGGAAAAACACGACTTTTGAGGCAAAGGGATGTGTGAAACTATTACATTATATTTGATACGTTACTGAAATTTAGTTAATGGCCAATTGGTCGCGACTGTCGTGAATAGTTGAATAGTTTTTCTTTTAAATCGGCACCACAGTTGGCTGGGCCTAATTGGACTTCAAGTCTTTCGTGCTACAACTGATGGACAATGTATCCTACCTGGAGGCCGGATAAATTAGTATTAAGAATGGAAAAATATTTAATTAAACCAGACTGGCCAATATAATAGAATATGAGTAGTAAAGGAATATGAATGTCTCATCAACAACCACACTCCGGAATGTGAAGCTGGAGAAGTCTGGAGTAACCTTAAAGAAAATGAATTCCTATTCGATTGGGAGAGCATTTAGGGAGGCGAATTTGAGCGAAATTGAGTGCATAATTTATTTCGTTGTGGAAAAGCGAATTGTCATTACTTAGTTCGCCTTAAACCAAATAGCATGACTGAGAATCTTCTCGAAATCTAGCCTCTAATACTGCCCATCCGATTTCCTATTTTGATTATAACTGAGCCCTTGGCTGTCAGCATCATTTGGACTTAAATGGTAATTTTTTCTACCATTTCTTTGGAAGAGCACAATTTCGCAGAAAAACAGATAATTGAAGACTGGCACATGGCAAAAATGTGTCCGTCTCTCAGCACTACAGGCAGGTCGGGCTTGAGAGAAGTTTTAAAGAGCCCGGCAAAGAGCTGATGTCCTGAAAAATACCAAGTCCTGGCTTTAAATCCCGTGAAGCCAAGTAAAGTTTAAAAAATATTTTTCGAATTAAGTATTATTTTCGTGACTACCAGTAACTCAGTAATATGAGATGTATTTACCCAATTTTGTTTAAGTTCATGAATGACTGGTAGAAGAAGAATTTTCCCACAACGACGTTTCCATTCAATTTAACATTACCTTGCTTTCCCTAAAGTTGTTCTCATCCAGGTGGGATTGTCGATGAAGCAAACGTATATTTGCTATAACAATCGACTAGGTTACTTTATTTTTGGCATTTAAGTATTTTTTCGATACTACCAGTAAATCAGTAGTATGATATGTATTCAGTCAATTTCGTTTAAGGGGATGAAGGACTGGTAGAAGAAGAATTTCCCCACAGTTATATGAGTTGAGCTTATGTGAATTTTCAAGAAATGCCAGGCTTTTTGCCATATCATATTCTTTTTGATGTAATTGTCGACGAAGCAAACGTATTTCTGCTATAACAATCGACTACTTTTCTTTATTTTTCGAATTAAGTATTGTTTTCGTGACTACCAGTAGTATGAGGAGTATTCACCCAATTTCGTTTAAGGTCATGAAGGACTGGTAGAAGAAGAATTTGCCAACAATCATATGAGTTGAGTTGACGTTTCCATTGGATTTCAAAAAGCTCAACTCATATGATTGTGGTAAAATTCTTCTTCTACCAGTCCTTCATCAACTTAAACGAAATTGTGTGAATACATTTAAAAACGTAGCACTGAGAAGCAATGTTTCGGAGTCATCGCAGTCAACAATTAACGCATTTAAGGGCCCAAATTTGTCGCGCAAAACGTATGCAGAATTAAGTTTGGAACCGGTTCACTCGAATGAGACGACGATTGAGGACATCATGTCCGCGACTGGAGGTCTTTTATGAGTGAGGAAAGAGTTGACAGGATTCGAAACCTTCAAAACAAAAAACTCCCCAAACGGTGCTCTGAAAACGATAGCATACGGAAGAGTGTGGGTTTAAATGTTATGGTGACCCGAAAGTGTAAAATACCTATTTGGTGTAATTTTGGTGATACGAGTATGTCTTAATATATCATTATTAATAAACAATTAAGTAAATAAATTAATATCTATATATAGACAGGAAGACAGACCGAGGCAGATTTGATAAATTTAGTAATACATTTTTGACATATCACATATCTC